GCGTCCATCTGTTGAAAGGCAAGTTTTAGTAGATTCAACCTGGCCTCCTCATCATTATGATAATCAATAGACATTAGCATAAAATGCCATTCCATTGGGGGCAGATGTCTTCCATCACTTCGCGTTTGGTCAACAAGGACTGGCAGCAAATCATGGAGAGACTCTTTACTACACACACTTTTACGTCTGAACATGTACAGATTAGAACAAAAATAGTAAAATCAATAAGTTTAGATCAGCCCTCTAACTGAAAAAGTATGCATAACAATTGGAGCAGAAAAGAAAATCTGAAACAATGAGTTCTCCATCATCAAGGTTACATATTAGTTTTTGCTTAGATATAATATGTCACGACTATCATTTTCTATAATCATTCTCAGTTGGTATCTCGCTATCCAAAAACACAAGACGCGAAAAAGCACGCAGTTAACTGACCCAAACTGTGCAATTACTGCTCGCAGTATGCTGTCATCCGGTAGGTGCCCATAATCAGGTGGAAGATCAAAAGCTGCTGTCAACAAAGATACTGATGCCAGATAGGAAAGTCCTGTCAAGATATTTTTTCAAGTTCCGGTCAAAGAGTTGCTTCACCTACCTTCATAAGCAGCTCTTTTTAATTGTTCGCCGCCTTTGTTGAAAATTCGCTCCAAAGGCTTACGTAAACGTTTTTCATACTTGCGGAAAGTGTTCAGAGGAACATTAGAAATCCGTTTGAAGAAACTCTTAAAAAGATTGCCTTAGTGATAAGTCTTATGTCTAAGATAATTAACTTTTTCAGACCACGACATCACTCTCATTGGCAGCTGTGTTGTTCTCAAATCTTCTCACAGCCTCCTCAATGTGTCTATCAGGTGGAATCATTCGGCTAAGAGAGTTGGTAATTAGATCATTCGCTCCTGGAAAAAAAAAGGAAAGCTAGCAGATTTTAAAAAGCCAGTTCTTTTACCTAAAGCAGCTGAAAACATCCATATTTTCGAGATGGACAAAGAATTGACAGGCTCCTCTATTACACCACCTGTGAGCAACATATAAAGGCATCCGTTTGGATCAGCCTGAGGACAAAATTTGTTTTTACTTCAATTTTCATATAAGCCAGAGAATCTAAAACCTACTTCTTGACCTAACCTCCAATGCAACGCTCTCTCAACAATTTCTTCCTCGAAAAAGCTTCTAACTTCATCGGAGATGGACAAACATGCCATCCACAAAGCAGATTTAGCCACGTTATCATTGACACAACGTTGGTTCTAA